CGGACCAGTAGGCGCCGAGATACAGCTGTTGGAAGTTTTGAAGCGACGCAGACAGTAAGAGTGCCTCGTCGTCTGCGTCTCTAGCCTCCAGAACTTCAAATCGCTGTAAGTTGGTTTTTAGACAAGCTAGAAAAATGAAAATTGGCCAGAAATGTGAGAATTTCCAAATTGACAATATCTAGTTTTCCAGCGAGAGCTGAAATTTTCAATTTCAAGGACTCTGATGACAATAAAGAAAATTGGTCGAAGTCCCCCTTTAAAATTGCGCTCTATTGATGAACCTCAAAATTTCACGCATTTTGGTTCAAGAATCAAGTTTCTAGCTTGTCTAGGAGCCGAGATACAGCACATTGAAGTTTATGAGGCGAGAGACACAGACGACGAGACACGCTGAGTCTCTAACCTCCTAAACTTTTAATGTAAAATGACCGTATATGTAGAGTGGGCTTTTAAGAAAGAGGATACGGTATTTCAGGCAACATAGCTTCTTGATTTTTTGTACTTTTCCCCGTTTTGCGCTATGACTCATCTTCCCTGTTTTTTCCTCTCCCTTGTTTTCTTCCGATTGAAAAAAGTCCACCAAAGTTCCAATCTATTTGTCTGATCTATCTTTTTTTCCGCCTCTTCCTCCCCATTGTAAAAGACCATTGTCATCAAACCCCTACTGACCGTTCTTTGTCTTCTTTTCTCATGTATTATTACTTTTTTTGTCTTTAAAGGTGGGGGGACATGAAAAAAATAATGTTCTCGAAATTCCGTTAAAAGATGCCCCTCGAGGAGTTGAACTTGTGAGGGCGATGATTGAGGGTGCGGCGCCGCTACCGACTGGGCCACGCGGGCAAAGAAAAAGCGCACGCCCGATTGCATACTTAAAGGCGAGGACGACAGATGTACGCAGAGTGACATTAAGCATTGTACACCGTGACGGTAGAATGCATACTCTCGCCCCAAAAATCCCCCGTAAAATCTCTTGTCCCCCCACCTTTAAAAAAATGATAATGAGGTCAAAATGTGTCTGAATGATGACAATTTCATTCAATTTTCAAGTTATTTATAGCTAGCGTCATTTTTGTACTGGCTATTTTCTAGTTTCGACTTTTTAAACACAATTTTTGAAGTTGATTTAGATTTTCAGCAGAATATTTCAGCAAATTACTTTTCAAAAACTTAAAAAAAAAACAGATCTTTAAATTCACAAATCAGCAATATCTAGTTTTCTAGCGAGAGCTGAAGTTTTCAATTTCACGAAATCTGATGAAAACAAAGTGAATTTGAAATTCCATTTCATGGAAATCTGAAAATCCACCTCAAATCCTTCATTTCTGCCCACAAACCACGTCTCTAGCTCGTCTAGGAGCCGAGATACAGCCGTTTGAAGTTTTGGAGAGACGCAGACAGTTAGAGTGTCTCGTTGTCTGCGTCTCTAGCCTCCTAAACTTTAAATCTCTGTAACTTGGCTTCTAGATGAGCTAGATAAATGAAAGTTGCATAGAAATGTGTGAAAATGAGCGGACTTTCAGAAAATCTTCAAAAGTGAGAAATTTTTTTAAAGATGAGCTAGAAAAATGGAAATTTGACAGAAAGGTGTGGAAATGAGTAGACTTTAAAAAATCTGAGAAAATTTTAATTTCTAAATTTTTCAAACTAAAAATTCCCTTAAAAATGTTCAGATGCATACCATTTGAGAGGCCTAAACATTTCAAAAAATTCTTGAAAAAATTAACGTTCTAAGTCATCTAGGAGCCAAGATATAGCTCGTTGAAGTTTTGGAGGCTAGAGACGCAGACAACGAGACACTCTAACTGTCTGCGTCTCTTCTAAAACTTCAAATCGCTATATCTCGAGTTCTAGAAAAGCTAGAAACCTGAGTTTTATACAGAAACGCTGTATTTGAGATGGACATTTAGATTGTCTGTGAAAATTTGAAATTTTTGAAAAAATTAGAATTTCCAAAAGTTCAAAAATTTTCAAAAATCAACTTTTTTGAAAGAATTCAAAATTGTATTCAAAATCTTGCATTTCAGTTCAAAAATCACATTTCTAGCTCATTTAGAAGCCGAGTTATAACCAATTGAAGTTTTGAAGGAGACGCAGACGACGAGACACTCTAACTGTCTGCGTCTCTTCTAAAACTTCAAATCGCTATATCTCGAGTTCTAGAAAAGCTCGAAACCTGATTTTTTTACCAAATTGAAACTTGAAATTTGTATTTTCTAATTTTCCAGAAATCCAAAATTTGGGTTTTTTGTTTTTTAGAAAATTGTGAATTCAAAGAAAAATATTATGACGAAGAATGGAAATTTCTGATTTTCTAAAGATTTGGTGTATCTCGGAATCTTTGGAAATTCTGTAATTCTGAACTTCTGATTCTCGCAAGTACTGAAATTTCTATAAAATTCAAAATTTTCAAATTGCCGCGCTTTCAAAACTATCTGAACTCTCCAAATTTAAAAAAATGTGAAGATGTCTGTGTGTCCAGATGTCCTCCTAATATTTGTACTTCAGTTTAGTTGTACATGTATTATCTATACATGTCTATAAGACATACATACACCATATAAGTATGAAAGAAAGAAAGCGAGAGAGTGAGAGACGCAGACAGAGTGTGTTCGGACTGTGTACTTGTCAGGGGGACTGCTGCCGATTGTCTTCTCTCGAAGAAGGTTTTTGCGATGGTCGGGTGAACCGGTCCGATTTTGTTTGTCTACCTGTCTGCGTCTCTCGCACTCTCGCTCTCTTTCTTTCTCTATTCTAAACTTTTTTACCTAGTTTTGTATGGTTTTTTGTTCTCTTTTTCTCCTTTTTTTCAACTTTTTCTTTCAATTTTCTTGTGATGTATTGAATAGAAAAAGAATAGGAATTCTAGAAACTTTGAAGTTTAAGAATATTCATTTTCTGAATTTCTGAATTTCTGAATTTCTGAATTTCTGAATTTCTGAATTTCTGAATTTCTGAATTTCTGAATTTCTGAATTTCTGAATTTCTGAATTTCTGAATTTCTGCATTTCTGAATTTCTGAATTTCTGAATTTCTGAATTTTTGAATTTCTGAATTTCTGAATTTCTGAATTTCTGAATTTCTGAATTTCTGAAATTCCGAATTTCTGAATTTTGGAATTTCTGGATTTTCGAATTTCTGAATTTCTGAATTTCTGAATTTTTGAATTCTTTTTGACTTCAAAATTTCCGAAATTCTCATATTTTTCAAGACTTTTAGCTTTTTCCCATCCCTTTAAACTTTTTTTAAATCAATACATTTCTAAGCAAACATAAAAATTTTGAAAAAACGGATTTTTTTCTTCATTTTCTTTGCAAAATGCTTTAAAAAAGCTTTCTCTATCTCTCTTTTTCAGAAATCCAATAATAATTTTTCAATTTCGTTCTTCTCCCCCCCAGAAGAAGATTCCCATCCTTCCATTTTGCTCCATGTCCACTCAATCAACCAAAGCGATATTTTGTTTTTGGAGGAGCACAAAATGGAAAAGATGCTCTATTCCTTTTGCTCCATTTTTCCGTCAACATCTCCCTCAGTACCTCCCTCAATAGCTTTCTCTCTCTCTCTCTCTCTCTCTCTCTCTCTCTCTCTCTCTCTCTCTCTCTCTCTTTTTCCAAAAAATTGAAAACTCTGAAATTCTGAAATCAAAAAGATATAATTCAGAAATTTTAATTAGATTCCATAAATTATTGATTCCAGAATTTGAAAAAAAACTGTATCTTCAAGCTTCTGGAATTTTCTGTTACTATGATGTACAGAAATTTTTTTGATTCTTTCTCTGTGCGTCCCTCTTTCTCTCTTTTTTCCCATTTTTCTTATCATCAAAAAATTTGGAGATTTTTTTTCCAAGACTGTGCTCTCCACAGAGCACAGTCTTATGAGACGTCATACTGATTATTTTATAATGCAAAAAAAAAAGGAAAAATGTAAAACATTTTTTCCTTTTTTTTTATATCTCGACTTCTAGAAAAGCTAGAAACCTGATTTTTTTACCAAATTGAAACTTGAAATTTGTATTTTCTAATTTTCCAGAAATCCAAAATTTGGGTTTTTTGTTTTTTAGAAAATTGTGAATTCAAAGAGAAATATTATGACGAAGAATGGAAATTTCTGATTTTCTAAATATTTGGTGTATCTCGGAATCTTTGGAATTTCTGTAATTCTGAACTTCTGAATCTCGCAAGTCCTGAAATTTCTATAAAATTCAAAATTTTCAAATTGCCGCGCTTTCAAAACTATCTGAACTCTCCAAATTTAAAAAAAATGTGAAGATGTCTGTGTGTCCAGATATCCTCCTAATATTTGTACTTCAGTTTAGTTGTACATGTATTGTCTATACATGTTTATAAGACATACAAACACCATATAAGTATGAAAGAAAGAAAGCGAGAGAGTGAGAGACGCAGACAGAGTGTGTTCGGACTGTGTTCTGAAAATCTACCTCTGAATTTATTACACCTTCAAAAAGCTCTGAAATGTGCATTTCTATATAATTTCGGAAAAAAATCAGACAACTTATTTCTCGATGGAGCATAAAACACACATTTCGGACACTGAAAACTAGTGTCTAAACACATTTTTTCATTTTTGATCATAATTTTTTTTTCGAAATTTTTATTTCATAAATGTTGGGAAACTGAATAACACATTTTGTTGATTTCCATCAAATTTCAAAATTTTGATTAACAGAAAAAAATTGTCCAAAAACTAATCAAACTTCTCGAGAGGTTTCTTTATAATCAGTTATCCAGCAATGAAGTCATATTTTTCACATTTCCGATTTTCCCATCAATCTCTTCAACTATTTATGTTTCAACTTTGAAAACACGAATTTCAACCTTTAATTTTGTCAAAAGACCAAATTTCTAGCTCTTCCAGAAGCCAAGATATGGCTTTTTGAAATTTAAGGATTAGAGACGCAGACAACAAGACACTCTAATTGTCCGTGTCTCTTCAAATTTTAAGCGCCTGTATCTTGGTTTAATAATTTCCAGCAATTCCGATTGGCTCACAAATTCTGGAAATTTAACAAAAAAATCTGAAGCTTCATTAGAATTCAGAGAATCAAATTTCAAAAAATCTCAACATTTTTAAAATTATTTTGAATTCCAGAAAATACAAAGTGCAAGCTATATTTTCGTCCAAAAACCAGCTTTCTTGCTCTTCTAGAGCCCGAGATATAGCCGTTTGAAGTTTAGGAGAGAGTTAGAGTGTCTCGTTGTCTGCGTCTCTAGTATCCAAAACTTGAATTGGCTATTTCTCAGGTTCTAGAAGACCTAGAATGTTCGTTTTTTTCCGAAAAACTGTATGAAATTTTCAGGTCCACCAAATGGTATGCATTTGGAAACTTTTTAAAAAAACTTTTAACAAAAATTTCTCACTTTTGAAGATTTTCTGAAAGTCCGCTCATTTTCACACATTTCTATGCAACTTTCATCTATCTAGCTCATCTAGAAGCCGAGTTACAGCGATTTTCAGTTTTAGAGGTTAGAGACGCAGGCAATGAGACACTCTAACTGTCTGCGTCTCTTCAAACCTTAAGCGTCTGTTTCTTGATTTTCCGTTGTCTGTTTCGATTTGTTTTTGACAGAATTTCCTGGAAATTCCGGAAACAATATCTGAACTTTTCGGTTTTCTAGGAAGACTGAGAATCAAAATTTCCAAAAATATTTCCCTTTTCATATTCAATCTGAAACCCCGATTCAAATACTTCTTTTCTGTCCAAAAATCAGTTTTCCAACTAATCTGGGACCCCAGATATAGCATTCTGAGGTTTTGAAGAGACGCAGACAGTCAGAGTGTCTCGGTGTCTAGCGTCTCTACCCTCCAAAACTTCAAATGACTGTATCTCGGCTTCTAGATGAGCTAGAAAGTTAGTTTCTTTTTTTAAATGAAGAAAATTCTTGGTTATTTTTTTTGGAATTCCGAAAACTTCCTCTTGTTAATCCTTTTTTCTTTTAATTTTACATTTGCGTTCTCTCAACAGTTTGCATTTGCTCGATTTCTCTCAAATTCCCTGTTTAGCTATTTTGTTTTCTATAGTATCTTCAAATCCCTATTTTCCAGCTCCAAAACAATGCAGCACAACTCTGTGGGTCCATCCTCGTCCACCCGAAAAACTACAGTAACCAATTCTCCCCACACCGCCGGCTCCATCCATCTCCATCATCGGTCCTCAAATGGTTTCAACACTTCACGAACGCCACTAAATCGCCACATGGAAATGGACCTGGGAAAAATGTTCTCGGCTATGGAGAAAGGACATAAAGTCTGTAAAATTGCCGTGTTGAAGAAGTGGGATCCAGCGTACAAGCAGTTGACATTAGATCGATACTCTCGACAGATCTTTTTGACAAAGTTGGAGCAGTCGGCAGTGAGGTGAGTTTTTTTTTTAAATTTCAAAAAACTGCTACATTCTGATGCAAGAACCAAGTTTCTAGCTTAACTAGGAGCCAAGATACAGGACTTTGAAGTTTTAGAGAGACGAAGACAGTTAGCGTGTTTTGTTGTCTGCGTCTCTTGCTTTTAAACAAATTCATTTGATTTTTGACTATGTGAGAATCGTTTCGGTTAAGAAACCAAGTTTCTCAAACGCCTAGGAATCGAGATAGAACTACTTGAAGTTTAAGAGGCAAGAGACGCAGACGACGAGACACTCTAACTGACTGCGTCTTTTCTAATAGCTATATCTCGGGTTCTAGATGAGCTAGAAACATGGTTTTTGAACAGAATTGCTGGATTTAAATTGGATTTTTCGAATCTTTGAAAATATGTCAAAAAAATTTTTTTTTCATTTTTTGAAAATTTAATTTTTAAAAAAATATGTCAGTTTTTCTATTCAATCTGAATATTCAATTCGAATACTCCGTTTTTGTCCAAAAACATGTGTCTAGCTGATCTAGAACCCGAAATATAACGCTTCAAAGTTTTGAAGAGACGCAGACAGTTAGAGTGTCTCGCTGTCTGCGTCTCTAGCCTCCAAATCTTCAACATGCTATAACTCGGGTTTTAGATAAGCTAAAAACTTGATTTATCCACCATTTTGAAGAAAATTTTGAGTATTTTCCAGAAACAAGCCAACAATTTTGGATATTCGACAAATTCGAGAAGTTCAAACTTTGTACTACAAACTGAACACTATCAAAGTAGACGATAAATGGAAAAAGGACCGAGAAATTGCGAATTTCGAGTCGAAAACCATTTTGGTGATTTCCTATGGCATGGCGTTTGCACTATCGAATTGGATTTTGTTGTGTGAGTGTGGAATTTTTGATTTTTGTACTTTTGAAAAATTTCTATCATTTTGACATTTTTTTTCCATAAAAATAGATTACATTTGAAGCGAGTTATGAGATTTTGAAAATTTCCAAATTTCAAAATTCGACCGATTTTTATGATTTTTGAATCAAAATGTAGAAAATTAGGCTCTAGTATGAAATTCTGGTCTTTAGAAAAGTTCTGGTCCTTAAAAAAATGCTGACCCATTTTTTTCTAGGTCATGACCCAATTTTTTCTAGGTCATGACCCAATTTTTCTAGGTCATGACCCAATTTTTTCTAAGTCACAACCTAGACTTTTCTAGGTCATGACCCAATTTTTTCTAGGTCATGACCCAATTTTTCTAGGTCATGACCCAAATTTTTCTAAGTCACAACCTAGATTTTTCTAGGTCATGACCCAATTTTGCCTACAGTAACCCATATTTTTCAATTTTCAGTTGAAACCGAAGACGCGTGCAAACTTTGGTCCAACGGTCTACACAACCTGATGATGGACACCAGGGATCGAGATTCGTCTCCTCATCCGTTGAGAATCGAACGATTTTTGCATAAGCACTTTTTGAGTTTGATGTCGCCGGCAAACGATGCGTGAGTCTTTTTGGCCTGGAAAGAACTTGGACACAAAAATTTGCAAAAATTTTCACATATTTCAGTCGAAATTTCAATTTTCTAGCTTTTCTAGAACTCGAGATACATGCCTTTGAAGTTTCGGAGGCTAGAGTCGCAGACGACAAGACAAGCTGCGTCTCTAACCTACTGACCTTCAAATGCCCATATCTCGGGTTCAAAATGAGTTAGAAATGTCAAAATTTCACAGATGTGAATGAATTTTTCAAGTGTATCTTGAATATGAAAAAATATTGATTTTTGAGCTTCGAAAAATGGGCTTTCAACATCTAATTTCCGAAACTCCAAAAATTATTTCGAAGAATCTAAAAATAGCAAACAAATTCTCCGTTTCTGTCCAAGAACCAAATTTCTAGCTCGTCTAGAAGCCAAGTTACAGCGATTCGAAGTTTTATAGGCTAGAGACGTAGACAACGAGGCACTCTAACTGTCTGCGTCTCCTCTAATATTGAAATGACAGTATCTCGGGTTCTAGAAACCATGAAAGCTTAATTTTTGGACAGAAAAGCTTGATGTCGATTTTTAGATATCTGTAAAACTTTAGTGAGATTCAAAAAATTTAGAAAAAAAACCAGAAATTCCGAAATTTCCAGAATTCGAATACCTATTTTTGAACTCCGAAAACCTAATTTTCGGAAAGGATCTTAACCAAAATTTTAAAACCTTTCTTCGTGTCCAAAAACCGAGTTTCTAGCTCTTCTAGGACACGAGATACGGTCATTTGAAGTTCGGAAGCTAGAGACGCAGAGTGTCTCGTCGTCTGCGTCTCAAACCTTGTAAACTGTAAAGGGTAATATCTCGGGTTCTAGGAAAGCTAGAAACTTGAAAATTGGCTTGAAATTTTCAGAAAACTTGGGTTATTTTATTATCTCAAAAAATCTTCATTTTTTGAGATAAAAAATATTTTTTTAATATTTTTCCAAAAAAAAGTTCTCTTGATTTTTTTTCTATTTTCGAAAATACAAAACTAGAGCTTCTATTCTGTCTAAAAATCATGTTTGTAGCTCTTCTAGAACACAAGATATGGCCATTGGAAGTTTTGAAGCTAGAGACGCAGTGTGTCTCGTCGTCTGCGTCTCTTCGAAAACTTCAAAGCGCTGTAATTCGAATCCTAGACGAGCTAGAAACTTTATCTTTTTTTGCATTCAAAATCAAATATTCTTACAAATTCTAATCCAAAATTTCCCTTTTCCAGTGTTGCTCGAAAGCACATGAAACCCTTCGTCCAAACCTCCCTGCAATTCAAAGTCCAATCTGATCAGCTACAACAAGTCACTGAGGATCAAATGGATTTCGATCAATTTAGCTACGCCAGTCGTCAACTGATCCACGTTCCAGAGCTGTTTTCATTGAGATTCGGAGATTTGGCTGAAAAACACGACCGGAAAGGATTGGTGGTCACTTTTCAGAACTTTTTGCGATTTTTGGACGGCAAACAGTTTGACGACATGGCATCAAATCGAACGAGAGCTCTGGAATTCTTAAATCGATATTTTCATGAGGATCAAGCGTATTTGGGAGATAGAAATGAGCCATCAATGACAGTTTTGGAGTTTTGTGATTTTTTGTTTTCTCGCGAGAACTCTTTGTGGGATCCGACGAATGAGAAAGTGACGCATGATATGAGCAGGCCGCTGTCTCATTACTGGATTGCCAGTTCGCATAATACGTAAGTCAAGTTTCAAGATTTCCAGCTCTAAATTAGTGAAAAAATCACCTTTCTAGCTTATCTAGGAGCCGAGATATAGGCATTCGACGTTTTTGAGGTTAGAGACGCAGTGTGTCTCGTTGTCTGGCGTCTCTAGCCTCCTGAACTTAAAATAGCTATAATTTGGCGCTTAGGTAAGCTAGAAGAATGAAAATTAAACAGAATTGTGTGAAAATGAGCAGCCTTTTAAAAAATGTAATGTTTTAGAAAATTCTGGAAAAGTGAGAATTCCTGTTTTTTTTTAAAATTATCCAGGAAAATGTTATATATATCCATACCATTTTTTGAACCTGAAAATTCATAAAGTTCTATGAAAAACGAACGTTCTAGGCCACCGGGAAGCTGAGATATAGCTATTTGAAGTTAAGGAAGCGCGAGACGCAGACAACGAGACACTCTAACTGTCTGCGTTTCTTCAAATTTTCAAATGGCGATATCTCGCGTTCTAGATGAGATAGAGAGTTGGTTTTTGGACGAAAATGAAGCCTTTAAGTTAGTTTTTCTAATTCTTTTTGGAGATTTAAAAAATTCCTAATTTTCAGATATCTCACGGGTGATCAATTACGATCCGAATCATCTCTGGATTGTTACGCACAGGCGCTGCTCATGGGATGCAGGTGTATTGAGTGTGAGTTGGATTTTTTTCTGTTAAAAAAAACAACTGTTCAATGGAGCGCACTTTCTAAGTTCAAAACTTTGAATTCATAAGAAAATCTAAAGTTTTTTTTCCATATTGTGAAAAGAGCAAAAAACCAAAAATGTCTATCAAAGAATCAGTTTCCTAGCTCTTCTAGAAGCCGAGATATAGCCTTTTGAAGTTGGCCTCTCTGACTGTCTGTGTCTCTCATGCCACCACGAGAGTCGCAGCGTGTCTCGTTGTCTGCGTCTCTAGCCTGCTAAACTTTGAATGGCTGTATCTCAGGTCCTAGATGAGCTACTTGGTTTTTGGACCAAAATGAAGAATGAGATTTGACTTTTTAGATTCTAGATTTCAAAATTTATAAATTTCTAGTAGACTGCTGGGATGGTCAAAAGAAGCCGGGCTCTAACGAATTCTTGGATATCGTAATCTATCACGGCTACACGATGACATCGAAAATTCTCCTCCGCGACGTCCTCCACGTCATCAGACACTACGCATTCGTAACCAGTGAATATCCAGTGATACTGTCGATTGAAGACAATTGCTCAGTTCCGGCTCAACGTCTTCTGGCTCAAGAATTAAAGGATATTCTGGGAGACTATCTTTTGACACAGCCAGCGAATCGAGAAGAGAAACAGCTGCCATCACCGGCGGCGTTGAAAAAGAAAATCATTGTGAAACATAAGAAATTGCCTGTGGAGAGTGAAGATTTGGCAGCTGTGGTCAAGACTGATGAGTGTCAGTTTTTAAAAATGTGTTCTATGATATTCAAAATTTAATTTCACACATTTTGATATCAAAATCATAAAAAATGACTGAAAATAAACAAAATTATGGGGTTTTTAAGTTCAGAAATTCAGAAATTTCAAAAATTTCAGAATTTTTCAAAATCCAGAAAATTCAAAAATTCAAAAATTCAAAAATTCGGGAGCTCAGAAATTTGGATTTCTTTAAAATTCCAGAAATTCGGGAAAAAAGCGAAAACTCCAGAAAATTCAAATTTACGAAATTCAGAAGTGTGAAGAAATTAATAAAATTTTTGATTTCAAAAGTTCTGAAAGTCAGAAATTCGAAAATTTCAAAATTTTCAAAAACTTTCAAAATCCAGAAAGTTTCAAAAAAACCAAGTGCAAAAAAAACAGAGCATTTACTTCAAATCCCACCAAGGATCAGTTTTCTAGCTCATCTAGAACCCAAGATATCTCCGTTTGAAGTTTCAGAGGCTAGAGACATAGACAACGAGACACTCTAACTGTCTGCGTCTCTTCTAAACTTTGAATGGCCGTATCTCGTGTTCTAGATGAGCCAAAAACCTGCTTTTTTCACTATTTGACTCTGAATTTTTAATGAATCTAATCCTTCAAAATTTCAGTTCAAGACACGGAAATCATTGCTCGCGAGTGTGTGAAAAAAGGGATTCTCTGGATGCGCAACAACAATAGTCACGATTGGACCTCCCACGTCTTCATTTTATTCCCCGATCGGCTATGTTACCTGATAGAGACCGCCGATCCGGATAACACCTCAGATGATACGGTATCAGTGTCTGGAGACGAAGAACGAGAAGAGGAGACGCCATCTGGATTTGGTGTGAAGCCTGAAGAGATGCATGTCACTGAAGAATGGTTCCACGGACGGTGTGAACGAGACGAAGCGAAAAAACGGATTTTGGAGCATAAAGAGAAGGGAAATGGTCTTTTTATGATTCGGGATTCCAACCTTTTTATTGGCGACTTCTCTTTATCTATTTTACATGATGGCAAAGTGCACCATGTAAGGATTCGGAGCAAGATTGTTGATAGTGAGTTTTTTTTTTCCAGAAAATGACGAAAAAACCAAGTTGCTAGGCCATCGGGGAGCAGAGATATGACCATTTGAAGTTTTGGAGGTGAGAGACGCAGAGTGTCTCGTTGTCTGCGTCTCTCATCCCCCAAAACTTGGAAGGACTATATCTCGAGTCCTAGGTGAGCTAGAGAATTGATTTTTGGACCAAAAATGGAGGAATTAAATTGTATTTATGAATTCACTAAAATTCGAAATTTTTTCTTGAAAGTTTGGTTTTTTGAACTTTTAGAATTTCCGAATTTTTGGAATACAAGAGCATTACACCTCAAATTTGATGCATTTCTATCTTATTTTCATTGTTCTAGCAATTTTCTGAGCAAAGATACAGCCGTTCAAAGTTTCAAAGAGACGCAGACAGTTGGAGTGTCTCGTTGTCTGCGTCTCTAACCTCCTAATCTTCAAATCACTGTATCTCGTGTTCTAGACGAGCGAGAAGTTTCGCGTTTGGACAGAAATGGAGCTTAAAAACTCTATTTTGATGTATTTAAAAAATGTAACAAAATATCTCATATGAAAACATTAAAAATTAAAAAAATTTGAATTTTTTGGTTGTGGAAAATTGTTCAATTCTTAAAACTTGTTTGAACATTATACAAATATACAAATATTATACAAAAAATCCTCCATTTTTGTCTAAAAACCAAATTTCCAGACTCTCTAGGAGCCGAGATTTAGCTGTTCGAATTTTGGAGAGACGCAGACGACGAGACACTCTGCGTCTCAAGCCTCCCAAACTTCAAAGCACCGTATCTCGAGTTCTAGAAAAGCTAGAAACTTGGTTTGTGAATCAAAACGTAGGATTTGAATTCTATTTTTAGGTTTTTTATAGCAATTTCAAAATTTGAACAATACAAAATCTCGGTTCCCAGAAAACCAGAGAGCTCGAGTTTCATCAAATTATGTTTGGATTTTTTTTTCAGAAGAAAAGAAGTACTACTTCATGGACAACAAAGTGTGCGACACCCTCTACGAGCTGGTCTCCTACTACACTCGTCACTATCTAACAACTGCACATTTCAAAATGGTGCTCACAATCGCTTGTCCTCAACCCCAACCACATCTCAATCAACCCTGGTTCTCAGCTACAGCCGATAAGGAGAAGGCCGAGGAATTGCTCAGCTTAATCGAAGAGGATGGTGCTTTCCTGATAAGAACCTCAAGTCAGGATTCGTCGGTTTTCGTGTTATCATTAAAAGTGGACGGGGAGTTTTGGCATTATCGATTGAAGCGGGACGGAAGGATTTTTGTGGTGAATCAGAAGGTGTTCGAGAATCTGAATCAAATTGTTGAGTTCTACGCGAATCGAGAATTCGTTCGAGGCATTTCCCTTCGATATCCTGTCAATGAAAAGGATATTTCTCACCTGACAGCGGAGCTGGCTGAAGCGAGGACACCTGGATGTTATATGGATTTGAAGGATTTGGATAAAGAAGTTCAGGCGAGAACACTTCGACCTTATCGTGGAACCGCCGATGATGAGCTCTCCTTCCCAGCGAACGTGATAATTACAGTACTCCGGAAAGAGGAGGGGTTGTGGAGAGGGAGATATGGAGCGATGACAGGATGGTTCCCATCAGCACATGTTCAGGAGATATTGCCGGAGAAGACAAATGCGTCGGGTGAGTTAGAGCCTTTTATAGCTTGAAAATGGTCCAAAATCCACTTTTCTAGCGCTGCCAGGAACCGAGATACAGCGTTCAGATGAGACGCAAACAACGAGACCACTCTCGTTGTCTGCGTCTCTCAAAACTTTAAATCGATGTACCTCTAATGCCAGGAAAGCTAGAAATGTGACTTTTTGACCGAATCGAAGCAAAATTTGTCTTTTTTATGGTCAGCAATAGATGTTTCAAAATTCCTGAAGAAAACAGTTGAATAGTTCCAAAACGGACCAACGACGGACCAATCTTTCAAATGTTCATAAAACTTGAGAATCTTTATTTTCAAAGAATATCTGAAAACAGCTAAAATGTATTGTTTGATCTAAAACCCTTCTTTCTAGCGCTTCTAGAAGTCAAGATACAGCTTTCAAAAAAGACGCAGACAACGAGACCACTCTAGTTGTCTGCGTCTCTTAAGCTTCAACTGTGTATATGCTTCAAATGCTTGTATCTCCGCTCCCAGAAGACCTAGAAACCTGGTTTTTGCGCCAAAACGATTGTCAAAAAGCCACAAATTTCGTAATCGAAATTTTACAGAAACCAGCAACTACAACACTATCGAACTAGCAGGGACACTTATCGAACGAATCCATGACTTTGACAAACCACACGTGATTCGAATATCACAATCGAATCAGCACTGGATGAGTAAGCAGTCGTATGTTTTGGCGGCGAATTGTGAGTTTTTTATTAGAAACTTTAAAAATTTGAAAATCCAAATGCGTAGCTCGTCTAGGAGCCGAGATATAGGATTTTTAAAAGTTCTTTTTGAAAAAATTCAAAAAGTGTTTTCTAACAATTTCCAATTATCGAAACATTTAAAAATACAGATGAAATGATCCATTTTAGTCCAAGAACCGAGCTTCTAGCGCTTGTAGGAGCTGAGATATGGCTCATTGAAGTTTAGGAGGTTAGAGACGCAGACGACGAGACACTCTGCGTCTCTAGCTTCCAAAACTTCAAACGGCTGTATCTCGAGTTCTAGAAGAGCTACAAACTTGGTTTTTAGACAGAAATAGAGCGTGGGAGCTGTATTTTGTGATTATGCACAGATTTGAAAAATTCGAATGTCTATATCTGCAGTTCTAGAAAAACGAGAAGTTCCATTTCACTGTTTGATGGCATAAACTTAAAAAATAATAATTTTTCAGCATCCGAAGAAGTGGAAGGTTGGCAGAACCATCTCTTCGAGTTGACCCGATCTGTGAACACCAAAATGAGCATTTTGAGGACCAAAGAAAAAGAAAAACGAATCGCCGCCGAGCTCTCAAATCTTGTTGTCTACTGTCAAGCGGTGCCATTCGACCCCGCCCACATTTACAACGACGCCTTCTACGAAATGTGTAGTTTTGTGGAAGGCAAATTGGATAAACTAGTAGAGAAGGGTCTCTTGCCATTTAATTCAAGGAAACTATCGAGAGTCTACCCGAATGGATCTAGGATAACTTCCACTAACTATTCACCAGTCCCAATGTGGAATGCCGGATGTCATATGGTCGCGTTGAACTATCAAACGGGCGACAAACCGATGCAATTGAATCAGGGCAAGTTTTTGGCAAACGGACGGTGTGGATATTTGCTGAAGCCGGATTACATGCTAACTGATGATTTTGACCCGGCAAGTTCTGAAAAATGCGTCACGACGGCTTATCCGATCCGGCTCAATGTGCAAGTGATTGGCGGACGACATTTATCGAGAAGAGACAAGAATAAGGGAATATGCTCGCCGTTTGTGGAAATTGAGGTTATTGGAATGCCATGTGATACAAAGGTCTATCAGACCAAGACTATTGGTAAGTCTAGTATTTCTAGCAGCTGAGTTATAGCTTCTAGAAACAAATACAGTGCGTTTCAATATTATACGTCCACTCTTGTTTTTGGCCGTAACTTGAGAACCGGTTGAGATATCAATCTAATTTTATTAAAATTGAATTCAGAGCAACAAATTACATCTAGAAAACCATTTTTGAGAAAAAATATTGAAAACTACTCGAGATACAGAGAAAAATCTGAAAATGTGACATTTGCAACCGTTTCAAAATTATACGTCCACTTCAAAGGTATGTCGATCTTGACCTTTGGCGGAGCCGGAAAAGCTTGAATTTAGTTTTGTTTTTTGCTGCCAATGTGAGAAACTTTTTTCATTATGCTTTTCCTTGTTTTTCTCCACTTTTCAACATGTCTCGTGGTCATTTGCTCACTGATGCTGAAAAAGCCTTCATCGACGCGTTCAAAACCTCTGGTTGGACCAACAGGGCTATCGCGAAACATCTAAATCGTTCCCACGATTGCATTAATCGTTTTGTATCGAACCGGACCCGCAACAATCAACCCAACAAGGCTGGACGTCCTCCAAAACTCAATTCAAGAGCCAAACGATCAATCGTTCGTGTGGCTTCAAACACCATGAAGTCTTGTAATGATATCAAAAAAGAGCTGAATCTTGGAGTGAGCAAGTGTACAATCTGGAGGGCTCTTAAGGATGATCCAAACATCAAAAGAGCAGTCATGCGCCCTGCTCCGAAGCTCACTGACAATCACAAAACTCGCCGTCTCGACTTCGCTCGAAAAAACATGGGAACCAACTGGGATAAGGTATTAAATTTAAAATTATCTATCCAAATTATCTTATCTTTTACAGGTAATTTTTTCGGACGAGAAAAAATTCAATCTTGATGGACCCGACGGATTCAAATCGTACTGGCACGACTTGCGGAAGGATCCAGCCGTTTTTGCCAAAAGGAATTTCGGGGGAGGCAGTTTGATGGTATGGGGAGCATTTGCTTCGGCTGGATACTTGGAGCTCGCTTTCACCACTTGTCGAATGAACTCCACAGACTACCAAGACGTTCTCCAGAACCACCTTATCCCGTTTCGTCGTCGATTCAGTCGCCGCCAGTTCATTTTTCAGCAAGAAATGCTGCAATCCATGTCAGCCGCTCCACTTTGGACTGGTTCCAATCGAAAAACATCGATGTCTTGCCATGGCCAGCTTGCTCTCCAGATCTGAATCCGATGGAAAATGTTTGGGGCGAGCTGGTTCGTCGTCTTTACCGCCATGGAAAGAAGTATGCTAGTATTGGAGAGCTTCGGGATGCGCTGATTGCTGAGTGGAGTCTGCTGGAGCAGGAGTTCAAGACTAAGAGCACCCAATACATCCAAAACCTTATCAAATCGATGCCAAATCGTCTCTTCGATGTCATTGCTGGTAAAGGTTCATCCACAAAGTATTGAAATATTTTTTATTCTCTATTTTAGCATTGATTCTGAGAGTGGACGTATAATTTTGAAACGGTTGCAAATGTCACATTTTCAGATTTTTCTCTGTATCTCGAGTAGTTTTCAATATTTTTTCTCAAAAATGGTTTTCTAGATGTAATTTGTTGCTCTGAATTCAATTTTAATAAAATTAGATTGATATCTCAACCGGTTCTCAAGTTACGGCCAAAAACAAGAGTGGACGTATAATATTGAAACGCACTGTATTGGGAATAAATTTATAAAATTTTATTAAAACCCTGTAAAATAAAGAATTTAAGGTTACTTTTTGTCCAAAACCAAGTTTCTAGCTCTTCTTGAAGCCGAGATATGACCATTTGAAATTTGGGAATCGAGAGACGCAGACAACGAGACACGCTGCGTCTCTGGCGGCACCAAGAGAGACGCAGACAGTCAGAAAGCCTAAATTTTGAAAGACTGTATCTCGAGTTCTAGGAAAGCTAGAAGCTTGATTTTTAAACCAAAATGATTTGCATAAAATTTTTTTTTTCTAAAATCCTTCAAATTTTGAGTTTTCTTGAAATCTTTGTGAGGATTTGAAAATAGAACACACTAGGTTCAATTCTGACCAAGAACCAGCTTCCTAGCTCTTCTAGAAGCCGAGATATAGCGATTTGAAATCTTGGAGGCTAGAGACGCAGACAACGAGACACGCTGCGTCTATCACGGCAGCAAGAGAGACGCAGACAGTCAGAGTGCTTAAATTTTAGAAGGCTGTATCTCGAGTTCTAGAAGAGCTAGAAGCGTGATTTTTTAGCCAAAGTGATTTGCATGAAATCACTTGTTCTCTGAACTAAAATTCTTAGAATTTTGAGTTTTCTCAAAATCTTTGTAAGGATTCAAAATTTGAGGGTAAAAAATCTAAAAATAGAACACACTAGGTTCAATTCTGACCAAGAACCAGCTTCCTAGCTCTTCTAGAAGCCGAGATACAGACATTTGGAGTTTCGGAGGCAAGGGACGCAGACGACGAGACACTCTAACAGTCTGCGTCTCTCCAGAACTTCAAATCGCTGTATCTCACGTTCTAGACAAGCCAGGACCCTGATTTTTGAGCCAAATGAAAGCTCTAGTCCGGAATTTTCGGTCAAATTCCAATAGTTGTTTCAGCTTCCAACGGTCTAAATCCAATTTGGAATCAAACGTTCACATTCGAGATCCAGTGTCCGGAAATGGCGCTAATTCGATTCCACGTCGAAGATGGGGATTTCGTTGGTCCGAAAACTGATCCATTCATCGGACAAGCCGTTTTCCCTGTCGATTCGATTCGTTGTGGTTTCCGATCGGTTCCCCTGAAAAATCAATATTCTGAAGAGCTGGAGCTGTCGGCGTTGTTGGTGGACGTGCAAATGTGTTCTAGAGAAGGAAGTCAGTTGATTCGATCTTCGTCGCACTTCTTGCAGGTAAGTTATTTTTTAAAGGTTGAAAAGCGTCTTTTCCATAGCTTCATAATGTTCCCGAAACCAAGTTTCTAGCTCTTCTAGAAGCCGAGATATCGCGATTTGAAGTTTTGAAGAGACGCAGACGACGAGACACTCCAACTGTCTGCGTCTCTTGAGCGGCATCTGTTTCTAGTTGTCTGCGTCTCTCCGTCATGGTTCAAAAATGGACAATTTCCACGGCTCAAAATTCACCTAAAAAACTGTACACCCCAAGTTTTTGACTTTTTTCCAGGCGAGCCGTCTTGCTCCAGTGTTCGCTCATCGTAAAATCACCAATGGCGACAGTATCCCGCGAGAAATGGCACCGCGGCTTCGGACATCGGCAACCGATCGATCTTTGGACTCTCCGACGAATTCTGAATCCCGTACGACACTTCTGACGAGTCAACGAGGCTCACAAGATTCTATGGATAGTGCTGCAGAGTGAGTGGAAGAGAAAGTGATGGGAATTCTAGGCCATGGAGCTCAAAATTTGCTTAAAATTGCTAATTTTGAAGCTAGACGCTTGATGGCCGAGTCTTTTGGATTTCTAGGCCGTGAAACTAGTTGATGGCCTAGAAATTTGAGAAGCTAGGCCATAGAACCTTGATGGCCGAGTTTTTGGGGTTTTCTAGGCCATGACATGATTTTCCTTTTTTTTCAGAACCACCTCCATTGCATCAGGAACTGTCAGCTCGCAAAATGGAAAAATGAAGAAAAACTGGCTCAAAAAGTTCTCCTTCGGCAAATCCAGCAAATCCTAGAATGTGGCCTAACTTTTTCTACTGGCCTAGAAACCCAAAATTTGGGTTCCTAGGCCACCAATCCCATTTTTTAAATATTGTTGCTCCTGGTGGCCTAGAAACGCTGAAATGTTAGATTTCTAGGCCGTGACCTAGAAATCCAAAATTTCTAGGCCGCCAATTACTTTTTTGTTCAATTTTCGAATTTCCCCGTTTTTTTGTTCTCTAGCATTCCTGTTTTTTATTGTCCATTCCTGAATTTTTTTGAAATTTTCAAATTCCCGCCAAGCCTTTTTCAAAAAAATTTTTTTTTGACAAAAATCCAAGATTTTCTCAGTTCAATTCCATCGAATTTTGCTTTAATTTTCAGACAATTTATTTGATTCCAAACTTCTTTTTTTCTGTGATAAATTTTTTTTAATAACAAAAAAACTTTTTTTTCGGAATTTCAGAATTTCGCAAATCTTAGAAACTAACAATTTCAGAATATCGGAATTCCAGAGTTTCTGAATTTTGGAATTTCTGAATCTCTGAATTTCAGAACTTCAAAATTTCAGAATAACAGAATTCCAAAATTTCAGAATTTCAGAATCTCAGAATTTCAGAAAGTGACCTAGTTTTATCCTGACCTGAATGTTTCTAAGCCACCATTTCAAACAAAACTGTCCAAGAATCGAGTTTCTAGCTCATCTAGAAGCCGAGATACAGCGCCTTGAAATTCAGGAGGCTAAAGATGCAGACAACGAAACACTCTAACTGTCTGCGTCTCTCAAAGTTTGATACGCCTATATCTCAGCTCTCAGATGGCCTAGGAACTTCATTTTTCTTCCATTCTGACTCTCTAGAGCACCTCAACACTTCCTAAGTTAGATTGAGACAAAATTATAACAGCAAAATCCAAAATTACATTTTCTTCCAATTTCTGCATGCTTAAATATTCTGAAAATACAAACTAAATATGCCATTCTGGTGCAAAAATCAATTTTCTAGAGTTACTAGGAGACGAGATACATTGCTCTAAAGTTGAGGGAGGCTAGAGACGCAGACGACGAGAGACTCTGACTGTCTGCGTTTCTCAAAAACTTCAAATCGCTGTATCTCGAGTTCTAACTTTTTTTTTTGGAAAAATATGAAAATTTCGAAAAATGTGTTTAATCTCAAAAATAGGAAATTTTTCAACATAATAAAATAACCCAAATTTTTCTGAAAATTTCTAGCCAGGTTTCATTTTTCTAACTTTTCTAGAACACGAGATATAACCTATTAAAGTTTAGGGGGTGAGAGACGCAGACAACGAGACACACTGCATCTCTACCCTCCTAACTTAAAATGGCCATATCTCGGCTTCCAGAAACGCTAGATAGTTGGTTTTTGAACCAAATTGAAGCTGAAGATCAAAATTTCCAGGACACCTGCATCACTCGTCTCAAATCCTACCTAATCTTTACAACATCTTCCAAAAAGATCAAAGACGAGAATGAAGAGCAAACTTTCAAAATTCAAGGTGTCCCAGATAAATTCGCGTCGATTCAATCTCTATGTGACAATCTGATCTCGACGAAAAAAGGGAACGAAAATCGATCGGCAAGAATGTATAAAATGCGTGCTCAAAAAATGTAAAAGACTTTTGGAACAACCTAATAAATGAATTTCTGTGAAATTTTTTAATTCTGGAAACCCGTAAATTTTTGAATCTGATCTAGAAAAATTAGAAAGTTCTAGCTCAATTTTGAGCCCAGATACAGTCTTTTGAAATTTTGTAGACGAAAGACGCAGACAACGAGACACTCTGACTGTCTGCGTCTCTTCAAAACTTCAAAACGCTAAATCTCGGATTCTGAGAGATTCGAATTGGATTTTCAATTTGAATTTCCATATTTTTCATTCAAATTTTAAAAATTGCAAGTTTTAGAAACAATACTTTCAAAAACTTCCAATTTTCAATCGTTGAGTTCTTAAAAATATTCCACATTTTCAAAAGTTCGACATATTTTTCGAAATTCAGAAGTTTTTGAAAATCGAAATTTTCTGAAATCGTTGAAATTGATTTTCCTAAATTTTTCAGAAATTCTGTGAATACACACAATCCCCTTCAATTTCCTCCAAAAATCAAGTTTCTAGCCCTTTTAGAACTTGAGATACAGCCACTTGAAGTTTCGGAGAGACGCAGAAAGTCAGAGTGTCTCGTTGTCTGCGTCTCTCGCCCTCAAAACTTCAAATGGCTCTATCTTGTGTTCTAGATGTCCCAGGAACTTGGTTTTTCAACCAAATTGAATCTAAAAAACTGAAAAATGACCTAGTTTTTAAATGTTTCATTTCGGTCTGCCCTGAACTAGCTACGCAGTCGTTTTTCTGGACCCCTTATCACCATCCCTTATCATGACACATCCATTACAATGGTATGTATGACCCCTCTCTTTAGTGCGAAAAACAATAAGGTGTGCACACCGAGATAGAGCACACAAAACTCGTGTTATTTGCCTTTTGTTTGGGTGGTCTCTTTTCTCTGCGTCTCTCGCCTTCGCATGCTCTCTCGCCTCTCCACGCGTGTCTAATTTGCGTATAAGAAGAGGTATGCATGGAACGTTTTGGGATGATGTTTTGGAATTTTCTCGGAATTTCACTTTTTTGTCTGCGTCTCTCTTTCTCAATAGCTTTCTCAATAGCTAAGTTATTGAGGGAGGTGTTGAGAGAGCTATTGAGAGAGCTGTTGAGGACAAGAGACGCAGAGAAAGGGAAATTTGTTTAGTTACAAGATAAGTTAAAGGGATTATAACGACAAGAAAGTTGGATTATGAAAAGTTTCCGGAAAATTTTCTTTTCGGAAATTTACAATTTTTTGTTTACCTTTTAGTTTTGGAAAGAAGAGAGTTAGAATGTGATAATCACTGTCTAAACAAATGCGCTCTGATGGACTTTTGGGAATTTTCGGAATTCAAAATCTCAGAATCTCAGAATCTCAGAATCTCAGAATCTCAGAATCTCAGAATCTCAGAATCTCAGAATCTCAGAATCTCAGAATCTCAGAATCTCAGAATCTCAGAATCTCAGAATCTCAGAATCTCAGAATCTCAGAATCTCAGAATCTCTGAATCTCTGAATCTCTGAATCTCTGAATCTCTGAATCTCTGAATCTCTGAATCTCTGAATCTCTGAATCTCTGAATCTCTGAATCTCTGAATCTCTGAATCTCTGAATCTCTGAATCTCTGAATCTCTGAATCTCTGAATCTCTGAATTGCAGGATTTCGGAAGATTAGAACTTCCGAAGTTCAGAATTTCTTAATTTCAGAATTTCAGAATTTCAGAATTTCAGAATTTCAGAATTTCAGAATCTCAGAATCTCAGAATCTCAGAATTTCAGAATCTCAGAATCTCAGAATCTCAGAATCTCAGAATCTCAGAATCTCAGAATCTCAGAATCTCAGAATCTCAGAATCTCAGAATCTCAAAAAAAACCCGAAAAATTCCAGAATTTTTTGGTCCCTCCAAATTTGAATTTTCGTACTTTTTTTGCCAGAAAAATAAGACTAAAAATAATTGCTTTCCACTTTTTCAAAATTCCCAAAATTTCCTATTCAACAGAAACTTCTTTTTTTTCTTTTCTTCAAAAAAAAAATTCTAAATTTTAATATTTATTTTTTCAACAAAAAAAGTAGTAAAATACGAATGAAAAAACATTGAAAAACCGGGAAAATTGGGAAATTCAAAAGACAAAAAATAAGGAAAAAATGTAACCGGCAAAAATTTTTTTTTTGAAAATTCTCAATAGAGCGCATTTTTCAAAAACAAAAAAAAACTGGAAAAAAAAGTTTCTAGACAAGATTATAGGAGAAAAAAAAAGACTGGAGTTGAGATTTTCAAAAAAGGCAAAATTGAGAAAAAATTTGAAACTGAAATAGAAGACAATTATGTTCAGAAAGAGAAGAAATTGTGGCGATTTTACACTATTTGGCAGTGTATTGTTTTTGAAAAAAAATGAAAAAGTTTGGCGGGAATTCAAAAAAGTTGAACTTTGGAATTTTGGGATTTTGGGTTTTTTCTATTTATTGTATCTCGAAGCCCTGCCAGAATGGAACGTCCCATCCGAATACGATCCCAACTTTTTCTCGCCAAGACCCAAATTGCAGACGTTTTTGCAGTCGACAAGTCCGTAGAGATTCAGCTGACCGATCACTTTTGTACTTCTTCTGACCACATGACGCTTTCGTTTTCCCTCGCGGACTCGTTGATGGTAGTAGGCACCGAGTTTGCGTGGACGACGTTCCAGGATGAAGTAGAATTTGAATCTGTAAGAGAAAATTGGGGGAAATCTGGAGTTTTTCGGAGTTTTCCTACGGTTTCTGATTTGCAAAAATTTTTACGAATTTTGAGAGAGAATCTCTCGAGAGATTCACTAGGAATCGCTAAACAACGCGCGCCCGGAATGTCGGAGCGTCGTTGTTTATTGAATTTTAGACCTAACTTTCTCAACATGATTTTTCTAGGTCATCGTTTGTTGCCTAAAAATGGCGTAACATGCACCTGGTGTGTTTTCTAGATCACTTTAACGTGGTGGCCTAGAATACCAAATTTGCAAAAGTTAGGCCATCATGTTAAAATGATCTAGAAATCACAACAAACGAATAACAAACCATTTCTTGACTAAAAAGGTTGGTGGCCTAGAAAAATCAAGTTGCAAAAGTTAGGCCAGTACTTCGAAATGGTCTAGGAATCACATCAAATGAATATCATGCCATTTCTAGACCATTTTGAGATGGTGGACTAACTTTCGCAAGATGAGTTTTCTAGGCCATCAACCTTTTTGGTCAAGAAATGGCCTGATATTCATGTGTTGTGATTCCTAGGCCATATTAACATGATGGCCTAACTTTCGCAAGTTGAGTTTTCTAGGCCACCAACTTTTTTGGTCTAGAAATGGCATGCTATTCATTGGGAGTGATACCTGCCCAGTATCTTAAATCCGGAAATACTTTTTTTGAATTTCTGAATTTCTGAATTCCTGAATTTCTGAATTTCTGAATTCCTGAATTTCTGAAATTCTGAATTTCTGAATTTCTGAATTTCTGATTTTCTGATTTTCTGAATTTCTGAATTTCTGAATTTCTGAATTTCTGAATTTCTGAATTTCTGAATTTCTGAATTTCTGAATTTCTGAATTTCTGAATTTCTGAATTTCTGAATTTCTGAATTTCTGAATTTCTGAATTTCTGAATTTCTGAATTTCTGAATTTCTGAATTTCTGAATTTCTGAATTTCTGAATTTCTGAATTTCTGAATTTCTGAATTTCTGAATTTCTGAATTTCTGAATTTCTGAATTTCTGAATTTCTGAATTTCTGAATTTCTGAATTTCTGAATTTCTGAATTTCTGAATTTCTGAATTTCTGAATTTCTGAACCAAAAAAATCACGAAAACGTGATTTTCCTATAAATTCTCGACTTCTCCAAAACTTTTTTGATATAGTTGTCAACATATAATTAGCCTAATTATCCCAGTTTTCTCAACAAACAAAGACTTTCACTCACCGATCATCATGATGCTTCCACGGACGAAGATAAGTGCATCCTTCAGTATCCTTTGGATACGTAAATTTATCCAGAACACAGTATCCTCCAGTTGAAAGTTGACAAGTATGGCTGAGCAATCTGCAAGAAAAATGAATTGTCAATGGAGCGTATTAGCCAGAAATCTCTAGAAAATTTTCTGATTTTAAAGCGAAAATCATTGTTTTAGGTTGAAGGAGAAGTAAGTTATGCAAGATTTTCAATAGAGCACATTTGCATTTCCGGGATTTTAGGAATTCGAAAAAAAACCCACGATTTTTTGAATTTAACTTTAAACATTTAAATTTAAATGTATTTTGATATTCCTAGTGAAAAATGGCTAACAATAACGAGAAAATTGCAGAGGATCGAGCTATTTTGAGTCAGAGGTAGGATAATTAGGTTTAATTAGACCCTAATTAAGCTCAATTTTAGAACAAAGAATATGCGGAAAGTTTGGCAAAGGATTTGGCGAAAATGAAGGAGAAAGAAAAGCGCCGAGTAGCTGCTGAGAAAAAAGAGAAGCGGAAGAAAATGATTGAGGAATATCGGGGAAAAATTAAAGGTTTGGAATTTTTGGAATTTTTGGAATTTTTAGGAATTTGGAAACATGAAAATCCAAAACATTTAGAATTTTCGGACCTTTTTTGAAATTTTGGTTTTTTTTTTGGAATTTATGGATTTATTTAGAATTCAAAATTTTTGAAGTTTTCGGAAACTTAGGGATTTTTAAGGAGATTCTGAGATTCCGAGATTCCGAGATTCTGAGATTCTGAGATTCCGAGATTCTGAGATTCCGAGATTCCGAGATTCTGAGATTCCGAGATTCTTAGATTCCGAGATTCTGAGATTCTGAGATTCTGAGATTCTGAGATTCTGAAATTCTGAGATTCTGAGATTCTGAGATTCTGAAATTTTGAAATTCTGAGATTCTGAGATTCTGAAACTCTGAGATTCTGAAATTCTGAGATTCTGAAACTCTGAGATTCTGAAATTCTGAGATTCTGAGATTCTGAAATTTTGAAATTCTGAGATTCTGAGATTCTGAGATTCTGAGATTCTGACATTCTGAGATTCTGAGATTCTGAGATTCTGAGATTCTGAGAATATCATGACTTTCTTAGAATTTTCGGATTTTCGGATTTTTTTGGAATTTCCAATGTTTTTTCGGATTTTTGGATGTATGGAATTTCAGAATGATTTTGGGTTTTCGGCATTTCTGGATTTTTGGAACTTTTCTGAAAATCTTAACTGAAAATCTCAGAATCTCAAGTCAAAACTTTTTAAATTTTTTAAAAACTACTAAAATGCTTTTCAATTACAGTACTCTCAAGCAGCTACAGTAATCCAAAATAAAAAACAGATATTCCGAAATCTCTAAATACAATAATCCGCAATAACTACGGTAATTCAAAAAATCTAAAACTCGAAATTTTCCGAAAATCCTTGAAATTGAAAAAATAACATATCTGAAAGTTCTTAATTTCGGAAAACTGTGATTTGTTAAATCTACAGTAACCCAAAAAACTATATTCAGATACAAAACCGACAAGCGGATCTCATCGTGTTCTCGTCCGTTACCCATCTGGAATTCGTGTGATTCTCTGTTTCTCTCCGTCAGAATCTCTCAAAAATCTATTCGATTCAATTATTTCAAATCCAGCGTGTCCCAACTATTTCAAACTTAGAAGTGTTCACCCGAATGCTGAAATTCATTGTTTTCCGGAATGGTATCAGAATTTGTGTCATGAAGAGAATTCAGAAGACGTGACGTCTTCTGAATCCAAAGAAAGTGTGAATTCTACGCATACGGCAATTGGATTCCAACCGCTGGGACGGATGGATAGATTCCGAACAGCTCGATTTTTTTTGTCACTAGTATTTGAATGAATTTTTGGATTTTTTGAAATATTTGAGTTTTCAGATTTTTTGGAATTTCAGATTTTTGTTTTTTTTTTTTGGGATAAAAAACCCGAAACATCAAAGTATTTTGAAAATTCCAAAAATCTTGGAATTTGAGAATTTTTTGGTGTTTCGAATGTTCGGAATCGTTCGGTTTTTGGAATTTTTGTGACTTCCGGATTTTTGAAATTTTGAAAATTTTGGATTTTTAAAAGTTTTTTTTTGTTTTCAAATATTCAAAGGAAAACCCGATATTCTAAAACTCCAAAAACTTCAAATTCTCTGAAATCCCAATTTTCGGTTTTTTTTCAATATTTCCCCTTCTCTCTTGGTTTTCCTATTTTCAGGAAATTCTAATGGACCATTTCCTACCTGTTCAACTAAAATTTTCACTAGAAAACATGATACACTAATATTTGCACTTTCTCATCTTCCCCCCTTTCCCCCTAAATTTCACTTTTCCCTTCTTTCAAAATTTTGGGACAAATAGGAAAACGAAAAAGGATGAAATTTCTATTTGTTCTTGTCTCCTGTGGCACAAAATCAAGAGTTGCGCAACACCTTCGAATTGCCATTTTATTGATTTCGTACTTTTTGGGGGGAAAAATAATAATAATATTATATATTCAAAAAGTTATATGGAGTCATGGGAAGGGCAAACATTGGCAGCTGAAAAGTTCTCTAAAATGAACCAAGTCTTGGAAGCTAGCGGGACTAGTTGTTGGAAGTTTCAGGGGGTTTCTAGGCCACACAGAAGTTTAGTTCTGAGATGAAAATTTAAAATTGAACTTTGTGAAAATTATGGATTTTCGGAACTTTTAGATCTTTAGGATTCTTGGGTTTATTGTAATTTTCAGAGAATTCCGGATTTTTATAATTTGAAATTTTCAGGAATTTCACAAAATTTTGAGATTCTGAAAGTTTTGAAACCCAGAAATTTCCATAAGTTATAATTGTAAGAATCCTAAACCGCCCAAAAGAGAATTCTAATTTTCAGATTTATCAGGATTTTTCCCCATAAATAAGAACATAAAAATGCAAATATTTATTTGTGTGCTCTCTAATTAAATAAACAGACACCCGAATGACATAAAATGTGGGTGAGAACTGATAAGAAAAAAGAAGTCAAAGGATTATTTGTTTTCCTGTTAATTAAATAAATAATTAAGCAATTTCAGAAAGTTCTTTCTCTGGAACAGAGATGAGCGGAAGAGATTTACGGAAATTTACGGAAGACGGTTTATTTTCAAAATGAAAAATGCTACCAAAAAATTGTGAACGGACAAAATGTAGATCTCAATGAGAGTTATTTATTGGTATAAAAGTTATCTCATAATAGTGATGGACAGTTGAGATATGGCGTTTCTTCCGTGTTCCGTCTTCCGTCTGGCACACGGAAGACGGAAGACGGAAGAAAGACTCTATTTGAAAAATCCAACAAAATTTCGAAACAATTTTTATACCAATCGATAGCTCTCATTGAGATCTACATTTTGTCCGTTCACAATTTTTTGGTAGCATTTTTCATTTCGAAGATAAACCGTCTTCCGTAAATTACCGTAAATCTCTTCCGCTCATCTCTGCTCTGGAAAAATAGTTGAAACCCCAAAAGAATAGCTAATGTACCGTAAAACCTGTATTAGAAGGGCCGGCCCTTCTATTGCTCCAAGGTACCTCCGAAAGGCCCTTCAATTACAGGGGTCCTTCTGATACAGCTTTTACGGTTGTCCAAAAAATTCGAAAATAAATTCCAAAAACGTCAAATTTTTCGAATTCCTGTAAAATCCGAAAAAGGGAACCCTCAAAGAAGATAAATCCAAAATGGTGAATTTCAATTTTTTGACAACCCCAATAAAAATCCCAAATGGCTCTATTTTGCTATATTCAAACTTCTCAAAACTCAAAATTTCTCAATTATTTTTTCAGAATTTCAAAAATTTCCAGCTCAAAACTTGTCTCCCCTTCTTGACCAAAACTGTACACTTTATTGTTTACTCTAAACACCTCCTCTTCGCCCCAACCAAATACTTATTCCCTTTCTCCGTTTTTCTCTTAACGTACTTATCAACACATTTACACATTTTCTCCCCCCTTTCCTTTATCAACACATCACATTATCACCAAACACATCATAAGCGGTACTGAAGGGCTCCGAAACAAATGGGGGGAAATCTGGGAAAAGTTGGGGCCCATTGTCAATGGAGCGTATATTCTGAACAGGGGGGGGAAGAGAGATGAGCTACTTCTTGCCTGAATTTTCGATTCCTAGAAAGTAGGGATGAAAAATGTTGAGCCTAAAAGAAGGTGGAGCCGAAAAAAAAGAAAAATTCTGCATTCTCTGACATTTCAGTTTAATTCTCACTCTTCTAGCTTCGAACCCGAAATACAGCTTTTTGAAGTTTAGGAGAGACGCAGACAGTTAGAGTGTCTCGTTGTCTATGTCTCTCGGCTTCGAGGCAAACTAAAAACTTAATCATTTAAAATTTCTGTGGATTCTCTGATTTCTCACTATTTCTGGAACATTTTGGTACAAAAACCAGGTTTCTAGCTTGTCTAGAACCCGAGATATAGCCATTTGAAGTTTTCAAGCTTAGAGACGCAGACGACGTGACACTCTAACTGTCTGCGTCTCTCCGAAACTTCAAAGCGATGTATCTAGATGAGCTAGAAAGTTGGTTTTTGGACCAAAATGGAGGATTTGGTTGTTGTTTTTTGATTAATACAAAATTGAACTTTCTGAAAAAAAGTTCGAATTTCAAATTTTTTAGTTTTTAGTATACAGTACCAAGTAAACCATTTTACCTTAAGTTTGGCACATTTCCGTCTAACTTTTATCTTTCTAGGACTCTTTTGAGCCGAGATACAATCATTTGAAGTTTTGAAGAGACGCAGACAGCTAGAGTGTCTCGTCGTCTGCGTCTCTCCTAAACTTCAAATGGTCGTATCTCAAGTTCTAGATGAGCTAGAAACTTGGTTTTTGGACCAAATTAAAGGATTTGATTTCGACTTTCTGGGAAAATAGAAAATCCAAAAATTCCGAAAAAAATTTCCAGAAAAAAAGACAGAACATTCTTGTATGTTCTAACCAATCTTGTACCCAATTTTCTGAAGTTTTGTAATCCTAAAAATTTCGAAATTCTCAAGATATCTAGACTCTGTTTTCAATGTTTTCTGGAACAAAAAACAATTGTTTTTTGAGGGAAAAATAATTTCTTTCCATTGCTGACTCATCGAAAATCAAAAACCCCAAATTTTTCTGAACAAAACGGAAATGTCAATAGAATTCTAGAACAAGAAAGTGATAAGGGGAAAAAGACAATTTTCGAAAAAAAAAATTTTGTTCCTAAAATTGTGAAATTTCAGACAATTTTCAGAATGATCTTTTCCACTCTTAAATTGCTCCTGACCCAATTTTAAAAAAAATTCAAAAAATTTCAAATTCCCGCCCAGCCGACTCACTTGACGCGTGTCTCGAGCAGCTTGAACGAGTAGTGAAGGCACATCGACGAATTGATCAGGAATTCCCCAGTATGCAAGAAAACCTGGGGCATCAAAGTGGTAATATTGTATTGGGACCCATTCAAATCCGTGAATTCTGGAATTTCCACCACTGGAGCTCTTCCGTGTATTGTGGGCGTGGCTATGAGCATTAAAATGAGGAGAACCCACATTTTGAGAATCTCTGAAACGTTTCAGACATTTTCGGGGAAAATTTCGAAAAATTCGGAGAAAAATGAACGATTTTAGACTGCAAACGAGGGGGAAGGGGGGAAGTGGGAGGGGCTTGGCGCCGACAAGCTCCGCCCACTTTTTTGGAGAGAGTGAGAGAATTAGACAAAAAAGATTGAGGACGGGGGGAGGTAGAATGTTTGTTTAAGAGTTTGAAGACATCCGGACTTACAGATACAATGAATTTTTGAAAGGAATTTTCGAAATTTCAGGAAATTCAGCATTTAAAGGGAAACCTAAAAATTGAGAGAACTCAGAACTTTTTTGAAGTTCTGAGAATGTAAAAAGGCTGCTTCCGGTGGGTTCAAGAAATTCAGAATTTCCAAAAATTTTAGAATTTTCCAACTTTTCAGGATTGTCTGATTTTTCGAAAAATTCAGAAACTGAATTCTTAAATTTCCGAATTTCGGAGATTTTTTCAGAATCTCAGAATCTCAGGATTTCAGGTTTCAGAATTTCAGAATTTCAGAACTTCCGAAGTTCAGAATTTCAGAATTTCAGAATTTCAGAATTTCAGAATTTCAGAATTTCAGAATTTCAGAATTTCAGAATTTCGGAAGTTCAGAACTTCCGAAGTTCAGAATTTCTTAATTTCGGAAGTTCAGAATCTCAAAAATTTCAGAATCTCAAAATCTCAGAATCTCAGAATCTCTGCATCTCTGAATCTCAGAATTTCAGGATTTCAGAATTTCAGAATTTCAGAATTTCAGAATTTCAGAATTTCAGAATTTCAGAATTTCAGAATTTCAGAATTTCAGAATTTCAGAATTTCAGAATCTCAGAATCTCAGAACTTCCGAAGTTCAGAATTTCTTAATTTCGGAAGTTCAGAATCTCAAAAATTTCAGAATCTCAAAAATTTCAGAATCTCAAAAATTTCAGAATCTCAACATCTCAGAATCTCAGAATCTCTGCATCTCTGAATCTCAGAATCTCAGAATTTCAGAATCTCAGAATTTCAGAATCTCAGAATATCAGAATTTCGAAAAAAGAATTTCAGAATCCCTTTAAAATTCTGAAAACTTGAGAAAAATACAAAGTACAACTTTTCAGGAAAAAAAAACATTCCTTCGGATTTTAAAACGAGGAATAGGACGGAGAAAAAAGTTCTGAAAAAAAAATAATTGAAAAATTTTTGAGGGAGCTGGAAATTGGATTTTCGTTTTATTTTCGAATGAATACGCGTTGTAAGTGGAGAAGATTGACATCGGAAGCTTCTCAGAATGATAGAATTTTTCTTAAAATTTTCAGAAAAAAAAGTTTTGAGGCTTGAAATTCTAAAAATCTAAAAGCAATCTGAAACAGCGAAATGTTCTAAGTTTTCCAGAAAAACCATTTTTTCGATTTTTCAATTTTCGCAGGATAATTTTATTTTCTATTTTTCTATTTTTTGTATAAAAATAGTACGGATGATTCATTTCTTGGGGAGAAACATAAAAAAATAATAATAATACTGGAAAAACCAAAAATCAACAAAAACAATTTTTCTGGAAAAGATTGAAAACATGGATTTTTTTTCCTATTTAAATTTACAAGTGGACCACCTGTGTTTTTTTCAAAAAACCCCCCTTTTTTGAAGTACTCAAAAACTACAGTAACCCAAAGTTCCTTTCAAAAATCCATTATTTTTCCCATTCATTTTCCAATAACCATCCAATTTGTGCCGGCCGTCCCGGCCAGCACAAATTGAGTATCAAAACGACCGTTTTCGAAAATACGAGAGAGTATTTGAAAATCTGGAGACGCAGACTTTTTGAACTCTTGAAAATGTCAGAATTAATGGGGAAATTTGGAAAGAGAACAACAGATTTCATTGGAATTTTTCAGAAAATTTGAGAACAAAACAAAGGAAGCTGTATTGAAATTTCAGAACTTTGAACATCTGAAAATCTGAAAACCATTAGCTGAAATTCGATTTTTGGTCCCGAACACTTGAGAAAAAAACCAACAGAACAACAAAAAAAGCAAGAAAACCCGGATGTATACAAACAGGAAGCCAAAAAAAAATGTAAACTCGATTTGCCAGGAAAATCCAGAACTTTTATTCTTCTCTTTTTTTTTGGTTTTTTCTCCAGACGGAACTGCAGAAGTGCGAACTAGCAAACGCTTTGGGGGGCTAGAATGTTGTAAAAAAATCGGAAATTTAGAAAAATAAACAAAAAATCAAAAAGTTGAAATTTTACAACAAAAAACTGAAAACACAAAAGAAAAAACAGAAATATGAAATTCCTTAATTTCACACACATGTCTGTCAAATTTTGAACTTTCTAGGCTGTCTGGCAGGTGAGATATAGCCCATCTACGTCTTCAGAGCCAGAGACGCAGGTAGCGAGACACTCCGACTGAAAGCTGGAACTTTGATTTATTGAGGTTTTTAGATTTTTCAATTCCTGACCTTTTGAGAAAAATTTTGATACAAAAACCAACTTTCTAGCTCATCTAGAAGCCGAAATATAGTCATTTGAATTTTCAAAGGCTAGAACCACAGACGACGAGACACTTTAACTGTCTGCGTCTCTTCGAACCTCCAAATGAATATATCTCAGCTTAGAGGTAAGCTATAAAGCTGGTTTTTGGTCTAAAATAGAGAATTTCGTCTATATTTTCAGATAACTAACATTTTCATGAAACTTCTAGAAATGTTTCCTTTCTTGTGCATTTCGGAATTCAAAATACTCTCGGATTTGGAAAAAACGCTCAAAAAAAACATTTTTTTAATGTTGTTATTATTTATTAATGGGATCACTGTATATTAGACAAAAAAATAGTACAGGAAAACACGAGAGAGTGCGAGAAAATTACAATGAAGATCGATTTTTTTGAGATTTTTGGTGGTTTTTAGATATTGGGAGATTTAGAGAAAATTGAAATCAAGACATCGGCAATCGTTTATCAAATTGGTGTTGGTGTATAAATGGCAAATAAATCGAGAATTTCCATCTTCCTCGAATCATTTGGGATCTCGAAAATTGCAAAAAATGGATCATACTCTTCCTCCTCCTGCTCACTGGATTTATTGATTTTTTGGCCGATTTGAGTTGGAATGTAAATTGGAAATTTGGCCATCAATTTGTCCATCTCTTGTCCATTGAAATTGCTCATTCCAGCAGGATTAAATGGATCGTATTCCATTGCATTCAGCTGTTGATCTCTCTTCTCCAATTTCTCGATTTTCAACTTCAATAAATGAATTTCCCGATTGAAACATGGCGTTGATCCTGGATATTTGATTGCAGTTTTCAAAGTTTTCGCATTTTTGAATATTTGAGATGAGCAATCCAATTGGAGAAGTCGTTCGAATGCCCTTTTCACCACTTTTTTGTCTCTTGAAAGTGCCAAATCACGAGTGTATCGATACACTTTTTCCATTGTTGATTCTTGACGATTTTCAGGGGATTTTTGAGAAGATGGGACGCTGAAAATGGAAATTTTAGATTTTTTGAGTTTTAGTATTTCTAAACATACAAATAAAATCCTCCATTTTGGTCCAAAAACCAGTTTTCTAGCTCTTCTAGGAACCAAGATACGGGCGTTTAAAGTTTCGGGGTTAGAGAAGCAGTGTGTCTCGTCGTCTGCGTCTCTCACCTCCAAAACCTCAAACGACGATATCTCAGCTCCCAGATGAGCTAGAAAGCTCAAAATTTGACAGAAATGTGTGCGAAATCCCAAAAAATCATATTTTCCAGGAATTTCGAAATTTCCGAAATTCTAAATTCGTAAAATTTACCTTCCAGAAAACGCGGCTTTTCTCGATGAATGCCGCTGTAGAATGATAGAATGAAGACTGCGAATTTGATTCGTGAATTGACGAGAAGAAGATGATGATGGTTGAGTTTGTGGTGCCATTTTATGCTGAAAATTCTAGAAAAATCAATCAATCAAAGAAAAAATAAGAAGAGAGAAGAGAAGAACAGACAACTAGTCGGAATGAGTAAAAACAGAATGAATGAATCCAAATCTACCGAATAGTACATATCCAAATGGGTCCAGGTGGGATATGAGTCCACCTGGGAATCGATATACGGTAATTATATATGACTAGGTAAAGACAATAAACATTTACAGGATGTAGGTGATGTGAAGGCGGGAAGAGCTCCTGGGAAAATGTCTAGATGACCTAGGAAATGTTTTGGTGGCCTTGTTTTTGAAAATGGACGAAGAATGAAGTTTCTAGGCCACCGGGAAGCTGAGATATAGCACTTTGAAGTTTAGGAAGCTAGGGACGCAGACAACGAGGCACTCTAACTGTCTGCGTCTCTCAAAAACGTTGAAGAGCTGTATCTCGTCTCCTAGAAGCGCTAGAAAACTGGATCTAAAATCAAAATGATTGTATTTGTTCATATTTTTAGGGAACCACCGAAATAATGAATTTCTATGATTGAATTCAGAAATTCCTGGAAAATCATTCTGGTTCCGTTTTGATCTCCCAATCTTTTACAATTCAAAATTTGGACAAAATGCGTTTCTCAAGTTTTCTGAAATTTCCCATCTCCTCCTTTCCCAAGACAAAAAGAATATAGTAATTCGATGAGCTGAATATCTATAAAATGGGAAATCGACGAGAGGACAGGCACCCCACATTTCTGACTTCAAGTGGAAATTTCTGGAAACAATGAAATTCTTTTTGGTGAGTTGGTATTCTTCTAGAACCTTCTAGAACCTTGAAAACTTTTCCAGATCTTCCTCCTCGTTCTCCTCTCCATCTCTTCCATTCAATCCCAAGAATCCCATGGAATGATCGGAAATCGTCGTCATTTCCCGGATTCCCTCTCCGGAAAGCCATCCGATGATGTTTGCACCCGAAAATGTGCTAGAAACAGCGATTGCGCATCAATCGAAATGTGTATCGTCGACTGCTGTGAGATTATACAGCAATACAGAGTTTTCAAGTTTAGGAAGCTAGAGACGCAGACGACGAGACACACTGTGTCTCTGACCTCCCAAACTTCAAGAAGCCATATCTCGGCTCCTAGAAGCGCTAGAAAGCTGGTTTTTGGACCAAAATGATTGTCAAAGCATCCCGAAAAAAGCAATCAAGCAGTTTTTTGAGCGCATATTCTCAGACAGCAGAATTATCACAGAATTAAAAAAAACTTCATTAGTCAAAACTTTATTCTAGTTATTCCAATTCACTCTTCTTCGCTCCTTTTTATCTTGTCCGCCTTAGCCGCTGCCTCACGATTGGTCATGACCTTGTTCTCACAGAAGCTGTTGATAGTGCATTCCTGGAAAAATTCTAGTAATTTCTGTTCAAAAACCAGAGAAATCGGTTATTTGGCAGCCGAGATACAGTAATTTGAAGTTTTGGAGGTTAGAGACGCAGTGTGTCTCGTTGTCAGCGTCTCTTACCTCCTTACTTCAAATGACCATATCCCGGGTTCTAGACAAGCTAGAAACCTGTTTTTTGTACCAAAATGTTCCTGAATAGGTGGGAAATCAGAAAATCCAGAGAAATTTCAAAAAATCAAGTTTCTAGTTAATCTGAAAGTCAAGATACAGTTGGAGAGAATTTGGTACCTAGAAAGTTCAAATTTCGAAAAATTAGAAAAAATTACTAGTTTCTCATTGACATGCATCACAGCTCCGAAATTATCAAAATGACCACAATAACTTGGTGCCGAGAAAATTGTGACCAACTTTCTGTCACCAAAAAATTCATATCCATCCATGACGACTTGATGCGCACGAACAATCATCTCCAGTTCGTGGCGTGCCAAAAAATCGTCCAGCGCCTCCCTTCGAACAAACATCCGGCGCCGCGTGGCGAGAAATCGTACCCTTTGATGAGTTCCGTCGGATCGGACCAACACAAATCGGACGGCACTCCCTGATCGGCGATCTCGAATGGACGAGGTATCACTTCTAGGTCTCTGGAAATGTTTACTTGTATATCGAATTTAGCTTGATCTTGTAGAACAAAAAATTTTAGATCAAAGAGTTTTAAAACGATAAAATTTGGACCACTAGAAGCCGAGATACAGTAATTTGAAGTTTTGGAGGTTAGTGACGCAGAGTGTCTCGTTGTCTGCGTCTCTTACGCCTCAAACTTTGAATGATTGTATCTCGGTTGAAAATGATGCTAGTAGGATGAAAACTAGACAGTAATATGGCAAATTCAATATCAAATGAAGTCTTTGTTACTATTTTCAGAAAAACAAAAACATTTAGTTTTGATTTTTCTTCAAACTTCAATTTTGTATCAACCAAAAGCAACAACTAAGACCTCCATTTTGGTCTAGTACCTTCGCATCCAAAATTCCAAAATTTCAAATATTTCTGAAAATACTGATATAAAAATTCTCCATTTGAGTTCAAAAATCAACTTTCTAGGAGAACTAGAAACCGAGTTATAAGCATTCAAACTTTTGAAGAGACGCAGACAGTTAGAGTGTCTCCTCGTCTGCGTCTCTAGCCTCCACAACTTCAAATGGTTGTATCTCGGCTCCTAGATGACCTAGAAAGTTGATTTTTGGACCAAAATGAAAGATTCGAATTGTACTTTCTGATAAAACGTACTCCACGTTCAATAGGTCTGCTGAGATTCCTCCATGCATACACAGAATTCGTTTTCCGACTCTAGCACAAATAGGCATACAGTTAAAAGTGTACTGAAATGCCTCGTACAAATTGATGGAGAATCTTTTGTTGCATTCGAAATAGAATCCGTATTGTGTGTTGACGGCACGACATTCATGGTTACCGCGTAGCAGATAGAATTTGTCAGGGTACAGTAGGCGAAGTGCAAACAGAAGGGACATTGTTTCGATGGAGAAGGGACCACGATCCACATAATCACCCAGGAAGAGGTATCTGAAAGAGTGTAAAAATTGGAGCAAGTTACAAAAATTTTCATGAATATAGCTCATTTTTGAAGCGAGATATAGCAACTTGAAGTTTTGGA